CCAAATTCCGCCTAAATGACGGAACAATAAAAGTGTCTTTTAAATCCAAATAAAAACCGGTAGATAATAACAATCTAAAATGCCCAATAGCCTCCACATGCACCGCTTTGCCATCTCCCACATAGACGCATCTTTCAGCATCATTTGGCTTGCGGTGGCTCAGACAACCCTGCATAGAAATACTGATGTTAGATGTTGAACCGGAGTCTAACCACCAAGTATTTCTAGGCACTGAAGCCAAATTGTTTTCAGTACAAACCAAGGCAAGGACCGTACCTTTCTTCACTTTCCAAGCATGATACTTGGTACAATCCTTCTTCATGTGTCCAGACTTCTTACAGAAGAAACATGTTGTTTCACCTTCCTTATGTTTCTTCTATAGTGGACCTTGAGCAGCTTCATTCTTAATGGGAGTTCTCTTCCTCTTTTTACCCTTATCCTTAGAGGTACTAGCCAAGTGAGCACTTTCTATCTTATTTTGTTTCATCCTCTCTTCCTCTTGCACGCAATATGAAATGAGCTCATTAAGAGACCACTTCTCTTTTTGGCAGTTATAACTGACCTTAAAAGAGTCAAATGCAATAGGAAGAGAGTTCAAGACTATGTGTATGAGAACATCTTCCGATATCTCAATCTTAAGTGTCTTGAGCCTAGAAACAATATAAGACATTTCCATAATATACTCCCTTATATTTCCTTTTCCTGAATACCTTTTAGAAGTAAAGTCTTTTAACAACATGCTAATTTCCGCCTTATCGCTTTTAACAAAACGTTTCTCAATTTCAGTAAGGAAATCCTTGGCATTAGTAACCTCATCGGATACAGCTCCCCTAAAAGATTCTGGAATGCCACGCTTTATGATCATTAGACTTAAGCGATTCGAGCGATCCTACTTCTCATAGTACCTTTTTTCATCTTGGGTACTAGCATCCGTAAGAGAAGCAGGTTGCTCTACCCTTAATGCTAGGTCAAGATCCATGCAGCCCAAAGTTATTAGAATATTTTCTTTCCATTCCTTAAAGTTAGTACCATTTAGGATAGGGATGGAGTTGAGATTGGCAGATATGCTCGAAAAATTAACTGTAGAAAGAACAAGGAAAATGAACATATGCCTTAGTGAAATTGTAAAATGATTTTTAACCCATCACAAGATACCAAATGCACCATTAGTATTTCATCTTTGAACAATAATACTAATTGCTAGTGATACTCTTGTTGTAATAATAAAATATAACAATAATACATATAAAAGAAAAATCCACCTTTGGGTTAACCTTTTCTTTTAAAGTGCAACCTTATAATTGTTATATTTTTATTATTGCCAAAAATGTATATATATAACTTGATAAAATATTAATCTTCCTTTGGGCCGATTAATATTTACTTGAACTATATACACCATGTTTAATATTTTATATGAGCAACTTACACAATAGGATCACTTTGGTGACATATTGTTTCTATATACCCATTTAAATATTAAACTTCTTTTATTTTACAATTTCATCACTATACAAAATAAACGAATAAATCTATCCGTAATTCTGAAAAATTGGTTCGGCAATAGACTTGATTATTGAATCAATCAAGTTAGCAGCAACTTGATTCATAAAATCATTTGATTCAAATGAAATCAATTATTCGAAAATTAAAATCCCATCCTTGCACACAATTTAATACAATTATGACATAACTGATAACTGTTGCAATTGAGTATTAAAAATATTGGCATGGGAACCGTTGCCAATGTTCCCTTAATTCAGTGCTAGACAAATTCCACTATGTGGAATAAGAAGTTAATTAGCTTGATAAGCACCATATTAATTTTATAAAAAACACACCATACGAATTATGAAATTAAGCTTTAGATATTGATGTCTGGATTCATAATATAACAACATGTATATGTGTAAACATGTATGCTCATAGGATTAAATTATACTTGAGAATTTGAAAAACATAAACATTTGCCATATCACCATTAAAAAAAAATTACTCTGCAGTAACATATACGAATGTACTGTATGCTTGAGAATTCAATTTAAAACCGTAATTATTTCAATGCAGAGGCATTAACGGTTGTCATATGGCTAGAAACATTTCACATTGTAGAAGCTTTAAATGGATTTAATCCTCATATTAATAATCCGAAAAACACATATACGTTAAACTTGATACATATTCCACTTGGTGGAATAAGGTTTTAAATGGCACCAAAAAAAAAAAAGAAATACATATACGTATGATAGTTATATGATGCCATATGCAATCAAAGGAATTTAATGCACTGAACTTTCGTTATAAACTTGAAGCATGAATCGGTACGAATGAATATGCAGCGGAAAGGAAAAACGATTCATCTCAAATAAGCGTTCTCAGGCTATGTAACGGTTCCTATTCTCAATAAACATACTCGAGACTAAACAAAATAGATCAACCTTCGAAATCTAGACTATCAAATAAGCAATGAACTCGGATTTCAAAATAAAAATTCCATGGATCTATAATGGTAGGCTCTGATACCAATTGATGGATATTCATATACGAAGTATATATATATCAACAAAATTCCGTATGCAATATATATATATATATATATATATATAAATATATAATAGCTAAATCCATATAAATCCATGAAATCAAATACTAGTATGTATGAAATAAGATTAGAACAATACCTTGAGAATTCATTTGCATTAACACTTTAGGAAGACCCAGAAATCCAAGACCGCTAGTAGGCTAAACCTTCCGATGCAGTGTATCGAATATGAGATGTCCTAGTCCTATAATAGATGGGATATTTATAGGAGTAGTTTTTCATTGTAACGGTTGGCCCCTTAATATTCTAATAACTCCTTTATTATTATTATAACAATAATGATATTATTTAGAATAATTTATTAGGCCATTTTCCGTTACAATATCTTTACTGTTATCTCTGAATTTACACGCACCGGGGGTCATAACCGTTGTATCACTTTAGTATAATATATTTAATTTGACCCGTCACCAAAAGAAATATATTATCCTGGTATCTACACTTTTATTATTTCATGAATAGCCACTGTATTATTTATCTGATGGTAAACACATTTTAATTAATTACATATTAGGCCCCTTTTATTGTTTTCCAACATAAAGATATTTCATTTATTAATTTTTATGTGTCTATATTTCTTATGTCATGTATGCACCTATTCATGTTTATGCATTGGAGATGCTCTTGCTATTGTATAAAAATAAACTCGATCATGATAACTAAAATTATTATTGTTTAAAAAAAAAAACTAAAATTATTATTAAAGCCACTAAAGTATACACAGTCATGTTTTTGACTTCTGTTTGATTATTTTATATATCTCGTATATTCATAATTAGAGCATGTACAACGCAAAAATGTGTGTGGTGTCATACGTGGGTAAGAGAGGTGGACAACTAAACACATAAGAATTAATATGTGGAATATGTTTTTCCTTATTTGAATGGTCTTATATTAAAAGAAGATAATTAGCCAACGGGCTTACAATACAATCCGGAATAAACTCATAACTAACACTAAGATATGAGATATTAACATGTGCTCTCGCCAAAGCGTGAGCCACATGATTCACAGACCGTTTACAATAAGAGATTCCGTAAGAACTCTTTTCCTTCAGTAAAGAACGAATATCATCAAGTAGTAAATCCTTATAAGCCATTCCTCCACCTTTCTCAAGACTCCGAATAATTGAAAAAAGAACTATAGTATTCCACTCCAGTAAACATTTAAAAGCTAGAATATTTTATCTCGGTAAAAAGTACTATTGTGAAACCATAAACATCACCATTTTGGTATGTAATTTCAGTTACAAAAATGAAAATGTATTATTGAACTAGTGAATATAGAAGATCATCATTTATGTTTAATAACATTACATTATAAGAAACTTTATAGATTAATGTGTTATTATGACTGTGGAGGCGGTATTGAAAAATCAATGCATGCACATAATCCGGCTACACAGATTGGAGTATTCTTGTGAAGAGAGTCACAATAGATCTTGCAATATAATCTTCATTCACAATACATAATGTGGATCATCTTTCGTTATTAGGACATTATTATATTATACAGAAATAGGGATATATGTTAAGTAGCTTCTATATAAGAGATGATATAGAAATACATTTCTTAAATGTACTTTTATAGAGTACGCACAGTTGAATAGATTCATAATTATAAACAAACGAATAAACAGGTAAATATCTGTACATCAATACATGGGTGGCATGGGCATAACTGCATGTATAGTTAAGTATTTAATACTACATATTAGTAAAATATGTACACTATAAGAATTAAATGATAGTAATTTAAATGGTTGTCAATAGATGATATAAAAGGTTGGGGGTCAGACCGTAAGACGCCACAATATCGATGACATTTGGGATATTACCACTGAACATTATGCATGTCGTTACGGGTATGTATGGGAGATATCTATCTCCCAAATAACAATCACCAAACCACTAACTGACTAACATTTCAAATTTAGACTACAATATTTATCTTAAGATTGCATTTATGATACTTACACGTAAATAATAAACAAAATTTATATAACAAATGCTATGGATAGAATTTGCCTATGTCAGAGATCTTTTTGTTAATTTATACGATAGTATGTTTCGGGCACGCACTTTTTATCTATGGTCCATTTTACATTTAACTACATCATAATTTTTGGCCTAGATTATTTGAATGAGTAAACAAATATGTTTTGAATTATAAGAATGCTTTTATTTGGATAGATCCAATCAAATCAGATATAAACAAGTCATATCAGACCTCAACTGTTATCAAATACACATAAATCAGATTAAAAAACAAAACAGAACTTTGAAACATTAACAGGTTAAAAAAAAAACTTTGAAAACATTATCAGATTCAAATCATTATCAAACCAATTGAAAACATACATGACTGAAAATTTCAAAAACCACCTAAAGCACTACAGAGAAATGTTACAAAGAGTATACTATCTTCGTGTAAATAAAAAGATTGAAAGCGCGCGAGCAGGAGGCTGAGATGGAGAACAAGGAAACTGTCGGATTAGGCTCGTCGGCGAAGGAGGCTTTCGAGAAGCTTGAGAAAGTGGGAGAAGGATCTTACGGGAAAGTTTACAGAGCCAGAGAGAGGGCGACCGGGAGGATAGTGGCCCTGAAGAAGACCAAGCTTCCGCAGGACAAAGAAGGTGTCCCTCCCACCACTCTCCGCGAGATTTCCCTCTTGCGAATGCTCTCCAGGGATTCGCATATCGTCAAGTACACATTCCTTACTCCTTTCGCTTTTCTCCGCCTCCAAGTAATTGTTTTACTGTATCAAATTTTGTTTTAGCTTCTCCCGTTGATGATTAATTCTACACTGGTGTTGTTTTTAGTGGTTGAGCCTTGAGATACTCATAATACGCACACATTTTACACATACTCGTGCATTTCTCGCCCTAGTTTCCTGAAATATTATCCAATAGATTAAGAGTATTTCCTTTTTATTTAAGTGTAATTACAGTTTGTTTTCTTCTTTTCATTTTCATCATCATGCCTGCATTGGTGTTTAAATTGTATGATTTGTATCCTGTCAATCGAATTTTAAGTTTATGTCCTGTTTATATGTGACAAGAGCAGATTGATGGATGTCAAACAAGGACTAAATAGGGAAGGAAAGACGATTCTCTATTTGGTGTTTGAGTACATGGATATGGACCTCTATAAATTTATCCGCAGCTTCCGTAAGACTGGAAAAAACATCCCTCCCATAACTGTTAAGGTCGCGCAGTCTGTCTGCAATTTGACTTTGTGCATTCATTCCTTGTTTTGTTATTTATAGATATATATTTTGGATAGCATTAACACACTATATACTTCGTATCTGCTGAGTTGTGTCAAATTTTGGATACAGAATTTGCTTTACCAGCTTTGCAAGGGAGTTGCTTTTTGCCATGGCCATGGTGTTTTGCACAGGTACAATGATTCCCGGAAACTCATAGGGCTGGCCTGGTGTGTCCACGTTTTGGAATCTTTTAGGAAATCTTCATTACAATATTTATGTTATGTTTAAAACTGGAGTTTCTAGCGTTTCCGTGATACTTAGCTCAGGTAAATTCAAGACCTATACATGTGATTTAGTAAATAGAATATGTGGAAATGTTTAAGCAGTTGTTTACTTATTTAATTTCACCCATTGTCATCCCCACAGAGACCTGAAGCCCCAGAATCTTTTGATGAACTGTAAGACATCAATGCTTAAAATTGCCGATCTGGGACTTGCACGAGGCTTCACTTTGCCTATCAAGAAATACACGCGGAAGGTGAGGGAAAGATAAGTGAAATTCAGTTCTAATTGATTTTTATTATATTTTTGAAACACTCAACATCGAAATAACTAATGATATATAACCTTTCACTCTACTGTTGTTACAGATATCGACCCTGTGGTACAAGGCTCCTGAGGTTCTTCTGGGTGCTACTCATTACTCCACAGCATTGGACATGTGGTCTGTTGGTTGCATATTTGGTAATAGAATTGATTTACATATACACTCACTGAATTTCATTGACACTATTCTTTTGGTGTTTGTCTAAGCTTGTCCCTAATTTGCTATTTTAGGGGAGCTAATAACACAGCATGCTCTCTTCCCTGGAGAGTCTGAGTTGGGACAGCTGCTGGTCATTTTCAGGTTCAGAAGATTGCTTCTGCCTTTTTTTCTCTGAACTTCCTCTTGGACTAATGATTTTACTGATGCATATAGTTTGCTCGGTACACCAAATGAAGAAGTATGGCCAGGAGTGAGCCAGTTGGTGAACTGGCATGAATATCCACAATGGAAACCCCGACCACTTTCATCTGCTGTCCCCAATCTGGATGAAGACGGCCTTAACCTGCTAGCTGTTAGTTTTTTATTTCCTTGGAGTATCAACTTGGAAGTTTGGATTTTTAAACATCAAACTAAAAAGGATATGTTTGACAATGTGCATATATTTTGTGATGCAGGAGATGTTGCACTATGAACCATCAAGAAGGATTTCTGCAAAGAAAGCTATGGAACATCCATATTTTGATGATCTTGACAACAAGTCGGGTCTTTAGGGTTAAGCACCAAGCATGTTAGGTGTTCTACACTTCTACTAGATAAGAAAATAGTACTAGTAAGAAACTAGTTAAGCATCCATTAATTTTGTCTAATGAGCCCTGTAAAATATCAATATAAATTGCTCATGCATATTGAGTAATGTAAAGTTTATGAATAAGGATGTTTTTACTTGGTCTGAAATTTGATTTGCTGGTCTGGTAAGTTTACTAGACCAGACCAGCAAATTTCAGTCAAGTTAAAACATCCTGAGTAAACATGGTTGTACTACTGAAGATTTAATTGTCTAGTGGTATACTAAAAGCTTAGGACTAAGGTTTCCTTCCTGCTTTGAACAACTAATAAAAGTGAAACTGGATCTATTTGACCAATGGTCACTTGGTCAGTGCTTTTGGCCTGTGAGTATCAAAATTGTGCATATTAATTAATTGAAGTGAAAATCTATTACTTATTCAAGGGCACCGCTTTAGGGGCACAAATTAAGCAGATTTGCAACCTAACCCATTCAACAAAAATACCATTTGCTAACTCAATAAGAGCACACTTTATGGACCCTATTATCCAGTTTATGAACCCTATTCTTAAAAAAAATTCTAACCTGGTACATTGAGCAAAATAAATAACCAACACCTTCTATCTTAAAAATATATAAGCAATTGCATGGGTTTTATGAACATTACCAACTGGACAGGAAGGACAACAATAATTCAAACAATTCAAACTGAAGATGCCTAATCTAAATTTGTTATAATTCCATTTAAGGGTGAAGCAAGTACGTTAGGTGTTCTACTGCGGAAGGAAATATGGAATAGTAATTAAGAAACTGGTTAAGAATCACTTTATTTTGTTCAATGGGCCCATTAAAAATCAAATATAAATGGCGGTGTTTAAGAATAGCAATGTTTTAAGTTACTCCAATTTAAAAGTGAGAATGAGAAGTAGTTGATAATTTAATTTTAGCATAGTAAAGCAAGAATACAAAGGTTAGAAGACAAAGTATTGATAAAAATACAAACTATTCCTTTGTAAACAGGTCACAAGTGCAAGAAATTTCCCAATAATGTTGAATATTTATTGATTTTTTAAAATTGACTTTTAAACGAATTTGTAAATTCATTTAGAAATTAGAGGCAATTGTTTAAGTGATTCTCACCGTGGGTCATTCGAAAACACTCTCTCCGTGCTAAACAGGGGTAAAATTGCGTATATTCGACTCCCCCTTACCCCACCATAGGTGGCAATTGCTTAATTTTTCATTTTAGTGCTAAGCAAGTATGCTTAGGTGTTCGGAAGATGATATACTCATATACTAAGAAAGTGTTTAAGGATACCTTTAAATTGTTTATTGAAACTTTAAAGCATCTAAAATATTAAAATCGTGTAGTGTAAATGAATATATGAGTTCTTTCTTAAAGGTTGAAGTGTGTTTGAAATCAAAGAGATCAAGTATATATGTATACAACAAAATCCAAAATTTTAAAAGTGGTTAGGGCATTTTGTCAAACCCTTAATAGGCATTCACGAAATGCTTAACTATTGAAAGTAATTATTTACGAACAGAAAATTGACTTTAAAAAATGCTTGTCAAACCACCTACCACCAATTGTTGGTTGTTAAAAACAATAATTAAAGAGAAAGTGGATGGAGTTTTGAAAAAAAAATTATATAAATCTCGCAATTAGCTGATACCATTATACCAGTCAGTTCACATGAAATGGTACGGTAATGAAAATATAGGAAAGTGCAAAGTCAATGCTATGCAAAATTCAAGAGGCCGGTATTTTTGTATTTAAGATTGCGAATACCCAAATAGTGAAACACAACTACGAAAAATATAATAAAACGGCAATACATCAGACAGACACTATTTTTATTAAATTCATGTTAAAATATAAAAAATAATATTATCAAATTGATGAATATAATAGAAAAATACTAACATCCATATGTGGACATCTAAAGTTGGTTTAAAATTTGTTTCACTCGTTTATTCAAGATTGATTATTAGTTCTAATTTATAGTTGTGGCATAAGAGCTACTCCCTCTGTTTCACTGATAATAGAACAAGAGGGACATATACGCAAAACAATTCAATAAAAGTGGTTTATGTTGTTGATATTGACCAAATTTGTTATGGGACAATCTCAGTGAAATAGACCGAAAAGGTAAAATGGGACAATCTTAGCAGGACAGAAGGAGTAATATTTAGATCATACTACATACTCCGTATTAATTAAGGTATAAGACTACACAAGTATGATACATAAAAAATTGCGAAAAATAATAAAAATACCCTAAACTTTGAACGAGTGTGAGATAAATACCCCAAACTTGTATATGTAATTTAAATACCCCAAACTTTGTATAATTTTTTTCCTCACTATTATCATGAATTATTTCTTTGAAAAATGTAAGTTTTTGGGGTTAGTTGCATAATTTAATTAAAATAGAAAATTAAAAGTGTTGCAATTATATAGATTTGGGGTTACATTATTTATTTCGCAATGGAAATTTAGAATGTTAATTGTGTCTTCATGAATTTTAAAATATATTAAATTATGCAATTAACACCATAATATTACATTTTTAAAAGAAAGGTAATATTAAATATGCAAGTTTGTGGTGTATTTAAATTAAATATGCAAGTTTGAGGTGTTCATCTCAAACCCCTTCAAAATTTGGGGTATTTTATTTATTTTTTCCTAAAAAATTTATATGAGTACTTCGTAGACACTAAGTTATTGGAAATTAAAAGCCGTTAGTGAATTTAACTTTATCATCCTTCCAATATATACCAAAATACTCCCTAAGTTTTTTTTCAAAATACTCCGTATAAGATAAATTATCCCGGCAACTGTGATGAGGGGTTACTATGCTGAAAAATGCATAGGGCCTCTGCAAGTACCGGGGACAGAGCCCCACTCTCTATCTGTCAGATTGTGATTATAGTCCAATTTACATCCTCTCATCGTGCCGTCCGGTCGGTGGTGGGGGGCCCTCAGGGATGGGGTGTCATCCTTTTTTTTTTCCTAAAGGAATAGATAAATAAATTATATAAACACAAATTAACTATTTTAGAGACCAACGAATACATACAAGGGCTAAAAAATTGTTGGTGTAAATAAGAGATTTATAAGATGGAAAAGATATAAAAAAACTGCTTTAATGGTTTGATATTTTTCGATTATCAAAATCTAGGATAAAAATTTATAAAACTATTACACACTCGATATTCAATTCGATACGATTATGGACCGACTCAGTACCTATTCGATCCAGTTTTTATATCTAGCCCTATAAAAAAGTCATTAAGGACTCCTTAAAAATTAGTCTCCCTGATAATGAATACTATCGAAGTACTACGTAAGAAATTGATGACTAAGCGTACAACTTAATTACTCCCTCTGTCCATAAAAATTCATCTAACTTTGACTTGACACACTTATTAAGAAAGTAAAATAAAATGGAAATGCGTAAATATGATTAAGGAAAATGTAATTAGGATGTTTTCTTTTGGGCTGAAATTTGCTGGTCTGGTCTGGTTTGAACATGTTTGATCTGGTCTGGTAACGTCTGGTCTCTGTGTATTTTATAACTACGGAAGTCTGGTCTGGTCTATTTAAGTCTGGTCTGGGACTGAAAACAGTCCAAAAGAAAACATCCTTAGTCACACCAAATTTTTTGAATTATCACAAAATGGTAAGTTGATTTTTTTTTGGGACCGAAGGAAGAATATATAGTACTCCCTCCGTCCCTAAATAAACTTTCATTTCGCTTTTCGAGGGTCAACTTAAATCACACTAAAACTCTTACTTTATGTATCAAAATTTTATAAAAAGTGAAATATTTTTTGCAGGCTTTGTAGCGGGTTTGATGTAGTTTCTGAATATGTAAATTTTATTTTCTAAAAATAATCTGAGTTTTCACATGCATCATTTAACTTTATCGCTGGTCAAACTTCGTAACGCGCAGTTGGAAGTTTAATATGAGAAGGAGGTAGTACGTAGTATGAATAAGGCCATTTAACTTATTTGGCCGTAACTTCGTGTACCATTTATCCAAATGCATTTTGGTGTCCCCAAAGTTGAAGAATTATTCAACTTCTTGGTATTGAATCCAATTTAGATTTCTTCTTGTACGTAGTATAAAATAAATAATAACTGATACTGTCAAAATAAATAAATAAATAAATAAATAATACGTAGTACGTAGTAACTGATAAAAAAAAATGAATTGATGTAGTATCATCAGTTGAAGCTCCATAGCCGAATGTCTCCAAAATCTTCGTTCAGATGGTCAACCAGCTCCGGTGGGTCAAGCAAACCCTCGTTCATAAACATGTACTTTGGGGAGTCGAGGTTGTACCAGCTACACGCCATTATAGCCGCCGGAGCCGGGTTATCAGGAGCCGCGCCGCCGTCTTCAAAGCTGGCGGCTTCCCAAAGCGGAGGAGACTCGCCGGAGCAAGAAGGGGGAAACGCGGGAGGCGGTGTGGGGATAGGTCCGGCGGCGGCGGCGGCGGCGGCGGCGATGCGCTGGATGGATTTCGGCGACAAGACGGCGTCGGAAGGCGGAATGTAGTAGGAGGCGAGGCGGAGAGGGAAGTTGAGAGTGGCGGAAGCGGCGGCGCCTCTGAGGCATAGGAGTGCGGCGTCGTAGGCTCTGGCGGCGGATTCCGGGGAGGAATGTGAGCCGAGCCATATCCGCGCCTTCTGATTCGGAGCTCGGATCTCCGATACCCAAGATCCCCAGCTTCTCATCCTCACGCCTTTGAACTTCTTCTTTATCATCGCCGCCGCCGCCACCACGCCGGGGCCGGAAGACTTGGTCACCTTCTTCTGCTCTACGATGCTCTTCACCATTAATTCTTTTTGCAGCTCATCAGAGTAGAATTGCTTTCTTGTTTTGGAGGTTTTGTGTGAAGTGTGAAGGAGAAGGATACATATAAGAAAAATATATGGCTTTATAACTTTAGTATCTAAAAAAGATGGATCAATTTGACTTTTCTTGGTCAATGATGTTAAAGTTTAGATAATGACTTTGGGTATTATATTTGTGCGTAATTTATAAATTTTATACTTTTATGAAAGATTTTTTAATAAAGAATAATCTCATATAATTTTCATATTTTAAATAATTTTGTATTTAAAGATATCATTGGTCAAAGTTGATCATCATTGACCAAAAAAAGTCAATTTGACCAATCTTTTTGGGACGGAGGGAGTATGTGTTATACTGTTATAAGTCAAAGAGCAGCAAGGCGCACATGCATGGAGATGGGGGACAGTTCATTTCTACATAGTCATGCAAAACTTTTTGAACACATTTTACTTTCCTAATAAACAATTGATTACCTGTTTGCCGTTCGAAGGGGAGTAGAGAGAACAAAGGGGCTTCCTCGACACGGCTAAGGCGTACCCACACGCTATTTACATGCAAGTCTCAACTTTAATTTGTCCCTACACAATAACACAAACAATTATTTTTGCATTTTAGATAAATTGCGACATAGAGAATACTAGGGGTGTTTGGAAGTAATTATGTTTGTGTTTCTTTTTTAAAACAGAAGCAGAATCAGAATCAGTTTTGAGAAGTTGGTCACCCCCAGCTTCTAAAAAAATGATTCTAGCAGTAAATTTGAGTACCAGAATCACTTCTGCACTTTAACCCAAACACTTCAGCTTCTGCTTCTGTTCCGTGGAGGAGTAGAAGCAGATTTAAGAATTAGATCCAAACACCCCTAGTATGAAACTTAAATGTGCAATAGAAATATATAGCACGGACTATTTATAAGGGTGTATTTTATTGGACTGTGACTTTCTACTAAAATCTAATATGATACATTGAAATCTGATATAATTTGGTAGATGATGTTGTATTTAATTTGTACTTTACAAGTATCCAACTATATATGTGTATATATATATATATATATATATATATATATATATATATATATATATATATATATATATGATCTGGTCTTATTTGAACAAGTCTTGTATGGTTTGATATGGTTTGTGAGTGTAATTGGTATAATTAAAAACATCAATGCATATCTTAGGGTGTGTGAACTTGATTCTGCTTCTACTTTTTCTTTTAAGCAGAAATAGGATTAGAGTCAAATTTCAAAAGCTGATATCCTCCGACTTTTAAAAAAGTGCTTCTATGAGCATTTTGAATAACTCAGAAACACTTATGCACTTTCACCAAAACATTTTAATAGTTGCTCCTGTTCCCTGAAGAGGAAGAAATAGTTTTAAGAAGCATATCCGATCCAAACACCCCTAATTATCAAACAAAAATAATTTCACAATGCATTCAGTTCATTTCTATCTTAATATTGTGCACTATTGTATCATGCAAATGCCTTTTTTATTTACAACCATGAGGGGGTGTCGTTTTATTTTAGAAAATTCTTCTTATTTATACGATTACCATCGTGGTTTTCACTATAAAATTGACCTGGTCTCTTAATTTTTTCTAAGTTAATGGTCAAATTTAGTTCTTATTTTCACCTTAAAAGTACTTTTTATTTGAGCTAAATTGATAAATAAGAATGGATATGATGTGTTAAATTTAAAATCTAAACACTTAATTTGACACAGAAATGCATTGCCTTGAATGAAAAATGTATTGTCATTGTATGAATAAAATGAACTTTTTCTCCCACACCCAACTATGAATTACCTGAAACAGACTGTTTCAGCAAACAGATGTGCATTATTATACCTCATTCTCAATTGTCACTACATTAAATTTTAAGAAAACTATACCGAATGATATGATGTCATAGTGTTCAAAATGAGTGAAACGGAGAAAATGGAGAGTAGACTTTCTATTCTAAATAATTTAAATATTCCGTATAATTAAGCAAGAAGTAGGTGTGCTTATACTTTAATGCTACCGAGCATCATATTTTAATAATTTAAATAAGTAAAAATTACATCTTCCTCCCTCTTTTAACTTGTCAGATCACATTTTTTTATCATCTTATATTTTTTGTCCATTTCGTGTTGGGCCATATGTTGTTGTTACTATATACTCCGTTATAGACTTTAAAAAAGAAGCAGAAGCAGAATCGGTTCCAAACACCCAAGAAATAATAAGTTATACGTTTTTGTATGGAAAGAGTGCAATTACTCCGTATATATTATCTAATAGTAAGGTGTGCTTTAACTTCTCTTTTGGAAGAGATGTTGTGAGGAAAATTCCCTATAATTCAAATGATGTTATTTAAGATGCATGTCATCACAAAAAAGTATGAATTAAGTGCAAGAAGCATGTTACCATAAAGAAACCTGTTGAAGACGCGTAAATATATTGTGACAGTAAGCTGGGAAAAATTCGGGAAAGAGCACTATATTGGAGTTTAGGAATAATGGTGAGGAAAAGATACTTACACCCAGCTGTTGCTGCTCTGTCTTTCTATCTATGCATGTCATCATCTCCCTTTTTCATTTAAATAAAACGCGTTATTTTTTCTTTTTATTACCCCCACCCCAGGTGCCTCACCTATCTACCATAACAATTATAATACTACATACGTAATAATTATATTAATTATAATAATAATAATAATAATAGTAAAAATAATACTCCGTAGTATTTTTATTATTATAGATTTTATTATCATTCATTCTTCTTAGGGAAAATTCCCGAAATAGAAGTAAAAATGACTGAGAATTAGAAAATATAATAGAAATGTCATGTTTTTATTTCCAAAATAGTATCACAGTATCACACTTTAAGCATGACAACATTTTTCAAGTTTGACAGTAATTACTCCTATATTGAAAATAAAAACTTAATAGTTCCTATTTTGAAATATTCAAAATTAAAGTGTGTTACAACTCCCTCCATAGCTCCATGTCATCATTATTTCCTATTTCTCCTTGATTAAATTATTCTCAAAAGCTTTAAGCTTAACAAGTATCCCGCTTTACACAAAGAACCCCTCGCTTTAAAATATAGCTCACATTACTGCCATTTAAATTCAAGTCTTGGATCATTCATCCAAATTGACACCAGGTTAACTATTTTTATGGCATCTTTATGTGTATACACATAAGACTAACAAAATAAAAATTGTTCGAGAATTGTATAGAAGAGTTCGAAGATATGCACTATAAAATCATTTCCTTAAAACGAAGGTGAAGTTGGTTTTCATTTTGAAGAAAAGAAAACTAAACTAATGGCCACTGAGAAATTTAAAATGAAGGTGAAGTTGGTTTTCATTTTTAAGTGGTCATTAAGCAAAGTATGCTAAGTTGGTTTGGTTTTCATGATATGCTCTCTCAAAAGTCAGATCACACTCTAAAAGTTATACTTCGTATATAGGACCCTCTCAAAAAATTAGAGCACCCTAAGAAGTTAAAATGCGCCTAAGTGTTGGACAATCTCAAAAGTTAAATCACAATCTAAGAATTTAGAGTGCCCTTTAAAAAGTTAAGGCGTGCTCTAAGAAGTTAAGGAGCTGGAGCATTGTATAGTAAAAGTTCAAACGCATCTAAAACTTTGATAGAGTAGAGTATACCAATTTGGGAGTTGGTTTTTGAGAGGGAGGGAAGACATGTGAGGGGTGATTACCTTCTTATTTATGTTTGGGAGTTTGAAAATGTTTAGTGATGGTTTTGAAAAGTTTTAGTAACCCCAAAATCTCTCCAATGTTCAATTTTTAAGTTCTTCCAAAGCGAGAGTTTTGAAAAAACGACTAACTAAATGATAATTTAAGCTCAATTTAAAATGAATATCAATTCAATTATTTGAATTCACTATATTTCAAAAGTGATTTTGATTATAATTCATTCTAAAAGTTTTTTCCTTCAAATTCACTACCCTAGTTAGTTAAATACGGTACGGGAATTAAACGAGGTTTAATACGTACGTGTTTTATTCGGTAACATGAATGAAAAAAACGGTCAAAAATTCGTTGAAAAAAACGTTCACTTTTAAAAAACGTGTAAATACGTATACATGTATAATACGTTGTCTATTACAAAAATTCGGACGAAAAATACGGGTATTATTTTGAACATTCAAATGATATATTTCATAAAATAACATATATAGTAAAAAAGAAATAAAAGTGTACACATATTCAAGTAGCAAATCTCATTACTACGTGCAGCAATAGTTCGTAATTGCATAAGTCAATGACAAAAATAAAAACAGTAATTAAGTCCAAGACATAATTTTGAAAAATAATGTCAAAAAATCATTATCTTTATATGATTATCAAATAACACTCAAGTTAAACTCACCATTTTCATTAAGATGACAGATGACATATGACAACGGTTGTGTGATTGCTACACTTATTATTGTTTGTGTAAAAGTTTATGCTAAAAAAACGGTAGGTTTAATTAGAAAAATCTTAATTTTGATATGCTAGCTTGAAAAAACATCAGAAATCTTGTAGTATATTACTACATAAGTTTTAGTATTTTAGGATGCTAGCTTTAGCCATCATGCAATTAATTATAGTATTTAATAATTGCACTGTAACAATACAAAAACACGAGATCATGGGGAGGACGTTTTCATTTTTACTTTTACACTATTGTTGATCTTCTATGCATTTAGTGCATTCATTCAATTGGTCAATTCATGTTTATGTTTTTTGTAAAATACGGGAAAAATACGTTTTATACGGGAAGTAGGAGTTTTTTTCCTTTTTAAACGGACCGACATTTTCCCCCTTTTAAAACGTGTTTTTTTGATAAAAAAAACGGTACGTGTTTAAAACGCGTTTAAAACGGAAAAAAGCCAACTAGGTTCACTACTCTTGAATAAGAAGATAGGTTTCTTCACCTTTCACTTCTTTTTTCTTCCAACAACTTACCTTCAAAACATTCCTTTAATTTCTCTTTCCTCCCAAACATACCCTTATTTTGGACAAAGAATGGATATGATTGCTTTGCACTTTACATCAAAAATACACTTTGTAGTTTGTATTGGATCTTCCCCTACATCAAGCGAGAGTTTATTGACC